GGTTTAGGGCTTTTATAAACCTTGGAGCCCAAAGCCTGAACCCGAAATTGCAACACCGACACTCTACAAAGCCAAACCTCGAGTTGATTCAGAGTGGCCTATTAGCTCTAACTGTCCCAGCGTAGTCCTGGAGTGCTGGGAGTGTCTGACAAACTCCAAGCCAGCTTCATTCAGGATGATACTTGGATTCGCCTTTAGGGATCACTCTCTCTCTCTCTCGCTCGCTCTCTCTGTTAAGGGTTTTGGGGTTTAGGGTTTAGGGTCAGCAGCTCCGGATCGAGCAGTTTTATGGTAGAGTTTATTCACGGTTTAGACATAACACCCGCCCACCCCTGAATCCCATAACATAGTAAAGTAGAAAGTTAACTTTTTTCCCTAAGGAGTTCCATTTACAGTTGGAGTATTTTCACTTTACATGACATAGTCATTTACTACACTATTTTATTAGGGCCTAAACCCTACCTAAAGCCCTGACGCAAAGCCTTAAACCCTACGGCCCTAAACCCTGGAGCTTGACACCCCAGAGCAACCCTGAAGCCAGCCCACAGCCCTGAGCCCTAAATCCTAAACCCTAAAGCCAGCCCACCAGCCCTGGGCCCTAAAACCCACAAACCCAAAGCCAGCCCACCCCTAAATCCTAAGCGCTAAATCGAGCCCACAGCCCTGAATCCTAAACCCTAAAGCCCGACCACAGTCCTGAGCCCTGAATCCTGAACCCTGAAGCCAGCCCACGGCCCCGAGCCCAAGCCAGAATAAGGCAAATTTGCCTTAAACAACTTTGCTTTATTCAATGAAAGCCAAAAAAGCAAAATAATGCACAAAGATCGGCGCTGTTTTGCTGCAGAATGGGGCCCCGACCCAAAAACTTGCCTTCAACCACGAAGTTTCGGCCATTGGCCACGAATTTTCGGCCATTGGCCACGAATATTCGGCCATTGGCCACGAATATTCGGCCTTTGGCCACGAATATTCAGCCATTGGCCACGAATATTCGGCCATTGGCCAATGGCCGAAAATTCGTGGCAAATGGCAGAAAATTCGTTGCCAATGGCCGAAAATTGTGGCCCATGGTCAAAAATGGCGATTTGCCAGGAACCACGAATTTCCGGCCATGGGCCACGAATTTTCGGCCATTGGCCACGAATTTTCGGCCATTGGCCGAATTTTCGGCCATGGGCCACGAATTTTCGGCCATTGGCCACGAATTTTCGGCCATTGGCCGAATTTTCGGCCATGGGCCACGAAGGTCATTAAGGTTTAAATTGCTATATGAAAGAGGGGTTTAAGGTCTAATTCCTTACGTGAAGACTTCAGCAAACCTAGTTAAAACTCTAGAAGTTAGGGTCAAGGTGCTTCAGTCTCCAGGGTGCCTGGGTGATGTTCGAGCGTCTGGTACACCGTTTCTTCTAAACCCGAAACCCTGACGACTACTATGGGGGCGCTTCATGATTATTAGAGTAGGGTTTAGGGAACAGACTGTCGAGGGTACAGTGTAGACTGCTTTTTCTAAGATATGGGTAGCTGAGCTGAAAGGGAGCCTTCCCTATGAAAACGCCTGCTCAGACTGCAACAACAGAGTCCTCACGGTTTAGGGGTTTTGGGAACTTTTTGTAGGTTTTTTTGATGTCTTGGAGGGCTTTTAGGGCCATTTTGGGGTGTTGGATTTCAGGGGTGTTACGGGCTTTTAGGGTTTCGACCTGGATCAAACATTCTTCGCACGCAAGGCAGGAAGTTCCTTGCCAACACCCGCGACCAGCCGTTCACAGTTCCTCGGCTTCCGGCCGGTTTGGGGTTCAGGGTTTCGACAACAGTACGGCCATAATTGGCGTCGGTCGTGCATGGTGTTGGTGTTGTGTGTTGATGACGGAGAACACTGCAAGAGGATGCGTGTGATGCTGAAGATGACGACGCCGGTGATAAATGTGTTGCTTATGGTGACGACGATCATGGTGAACGGCATTGGTGAACTCGATGACGATAGAGATGTTGACAGCCTCTGACATGATGGGCATTTCACCGAGATTGCTGATGTTGACGGTGCTGATTTCACCATGGGGGTGGTGTTTTTGAAGACGAAAAAATGGAGGTGCGGACTGACAGCAAGATGAGGAGGAGGCTAGCAGGCACAGCAGCTATAGCAAGCGTATGTGTAAGCGACAAAAGTCATGGTAGTGTTCGCATGACACCATGGGTGAGACTGTCAGCTCTACCGCTAGCACAAAACTTATGTCAGCTTCTTATGTAACGTGGTGATGAACCTGAGTGTGATCATGACCCTAAACCCTAAACCCTAAACCATCATGACCATAGTGTTGAAGATTGTGGTAACGTTGATGATGCCCACGATCGACTGGGGATCTGCTGCTGATGAAGCGATGTAGTTGTGGTGATGACGGTGATGAGACGATGACGATGATGGCGCTGGTCCTAGGTTGTGTGGTGGTGATGATTTGCATGTGGCTTAATGCTGGTGCAGCACGGATAGCCGTGAGGATTGCACCTTTAATGTCCCAGTCACAATCAGATCAACCGATTCCAAACCCTGCTTGCGCCGTAGCAGAAAAAGCACCAGGTGCTTCTTGCTCCGCTGCGTGAGGACGGGGCTATGGGTTTAAGGGCTCCGCAGAACACGTTGAGGCAACGACCAAGCAGGATCGATAATCCTGGCGAATAGCGAGAGGACTATTGAGGAGACGATGGAGCTTCATAAGAGAGAAGTGCCCCATTGCGGAGCACAGGAGTCATCATCATTGGTTTTCAAAGATAGCAGGAAAGTACAGGTCCGAACAGTGTACGAGAAGTCCGAACACCGGGGCCAAGAATAGAATGTGAGTCGAACGATATATACAAAGAAAAGACGGATTGCAGAGTTATGCGAATCCTATTACGAAGCATCAGTATCACGATCACGATCTTCATCATCGTGTCCCTCTCGTCGTCATCGTGATCAGGACTGTCCTTACTCCTTAGACTCGGGTCCCTCTTTACCCCCTCCCCCCAAAAAACGGTAATCACCCTTGTAAGAAGGACCCCAAAATAGACCTAACTTAGAGAACTACACATGCGTGGGACCAGCCTTCGGTTCGGAAGCGCGAAAGACAATTGCAGGAAGGGACATATCCTCGGTTGCCATGTGCACACCCTGAACTGCATGAACCGGGGCGTTAGGGTTTAGGGTTAAGGGTTTTTGAAGGGTCTTCTTGTGCTTAAAGGGAGGACGGGCGAGAACCCCAAGCCCGCAACCCTGAAGCCCCCAATTCCCAAACCCCTGAAGCCTGTTCCTCAAACTCTCAACCTCCCAGGTTCCCCAACAAACCCTCAACCCTAAACCCCTAAACCCTCAACGCTAAACCCTAAACCCTAGACCCATTTTGGTAGCCTGAGCCCTAAACCCAAAACTAGGTGGCACTTTGGGAACTTTTCAATTTAGACGGACCTATTCATAAATAGTTTTGTTTTTATTGTTTTTTTGTGGGGGGGGGGGGCCGAAACTGCAAGCCAGCAAACCCTAAGCCCTAAACCGTCAAACAAGAATGCCGACATGTTTCCTGAGGACAAGGTAGACTGGACGCTGGATGTCTTGAGCAACTGGAGCCACCAGGCGTTCTTGCTGCCTGGAGTTTCACCCCTAAACCCCAAACCCTAAACCCCCTACTCCAAGAATCGAGGCCCCTAGAGTATTCATCACCAGGCTTGGTGGATGACCTGCTCGGATCTAGCATCGTTTGCTTCGGAGTGGTCAGCTCGCAGATTTTGCTGCTCACGGTAGACCCTCCTCGAAGGCAGCCCCTAAACCCTAATCCCTAAACCCTAAACCTTATACCCTAAGCCCTAAACCCTAAACCCTAAGCCCTAAACCCTAGACCCTAAGCCCTAAATCCTAAATCCTAAAACCCTAAACCCTAAACACTAAAACCCTAAGCCCTAAACCCTAAACCCTAAACCCTAAATCCTAAACCCTAAACCCTAAACCCTGAACCCTAAATCCTAAACCCTAAACCCTAAACCCTAAACAGCCCAGGGATGACAGGTTCCCATGCGGCGTCCCAGACCCGAAAGACCTCTGCAGGGCCTCGGCTTCAAATGCCCTCCCCGCCATGGCCAAACTCTTTGGACTCCTCTCGGCCTCTTGGGAGCCGGTTTGGGGTTTAGGGTTTAGGGTTTAGGAGGGTTTAGGGTTTAGGAGGGTTTAGGGTTTATGTTTTAGGGTTTAGGGATTAGGGTTTAGGGTTTAGGGTTTAGGGAATAGGTCAACTTTAGGCTTTTTTGGACTCCCCTCGGTTTCTTGGGAGCTTAATAGGGGAAAACTTTAAGCCTTCTTTGGTATATCAAAGCCCTGCTGAAAGAAAAGTATAAACTTTTTGGGGCCAGGGCACTGGGCAGCTAAGGTTTACATGTGTCCAGTCAGAGCCCTTCAGGAAGAGATTAACTTGGCGGTCAGACTTCTTGCAGACTTGGGCGCCAGGGAGGCGGAATCCCTCGTCGAAGTCGGGGATGGAAGAGTGTCGGCAATTTTTGCGAATCGGCAGCAGCTGAAGGGCAACATCCCGGCTGAGCTTGGTAAACTCACAGGTTTGCACCTTCTGCAGCTCGGTGGAAATCAGCTCACTGGGGCGATTCCTGCTGAGATCGGCAACCTAGTAGAGCTCACCTACCTTGACCTTTCTGACAACCAGCTTACTGGGCCGATTCCGCTTGAGGTCGGCAACATGGTCAACCTCAACACACTGGCGTTGAATGGAAACAAGCTCACTGGGCCAATCCCCCACACCATAGGCCGGCTAACTGCGCTGAGTATGCTAAAGCTGCAAGAGAACAGCCTGTCTGGACCGATCCCCGGCGAGATCGAGAGCCTCACAAGCTTAAGAATGCTCCTCACGTCTGACAACCAGCTCACCGGGTGGATCCCTTCTGAAGTTGGGAATTTAAGTTGGCTCCTCAATCTTGATTTATCCAGGAACAGACTCAGTGGCCCGATCCCGGCGACACTTGGTCGCCTCATGAAGCTGCAGTCCGTGATCCTTTTCGACAACCAGCTCAGCGGCCAGGTGCCCCAAGAATTGGGCGAGCAGCTTCCGCTCCTCAGAATACTCCTCCTTCACAGGAACTTCTTGGAGGGCCCATTCCCTGCCCACTGGAGAAATGCAAGAAGAATGCAGGCGCTAACCCTGCATGAAAACCGGTTCCGGGGATCGCTGCCCAGCAGCCTGGAGAACATGACCATGCTGTGGTGGATCACACTGCATGGTAACGATTTCTCTGGAACCGTGCCCAGACTCAGCCTGCGCAACAGAGGGAAGGCCACGCTGCACAGGAACCGCTTCAGCTGCCAATTGCCGGAAAGCCTGGGGCTCGACGACGTGCGTGCCACTGTGGTAATGGGCAACATGGTTGGTGTAGGGGACAGCATCACTGCAAACTGGGTCAGCCCAGCGGAACTGCAGGACTTTTTATATGTATCAAGCAAGATCTGGTGGGGAAACATGCTTGTATTGGCAGGCTTGCCAATGGCAATCCTAGGGGCTGGAGTCATCTATTGCCAGTCTCGGCAAGCCAGAGCCCGAAGTACACAGGCACCAAGACATGGGATTGGGATGCCTTCTTAGATAAAACCGCATCTGCTGTCGAAGGGCCCCAAAACAATCTACTGTACGGTAAGACCCCGCCACAGACATGTTCTGTCTGATTCAGGCAGCCAGCAACGCTTCAAGCGATTAAGGCAGACAGCTGTAGGGCATGTGGGTAGTCCTCTGCATTAGGGGTCCCTTTCAGTGTGGGTAAGTCTTCAAGTGCTAAAGCCTAAAGCTAAGAGTCATGCTTTCTTGTTGGGATCCACGAGGGTGTCTTAAGTTAAGAATAAAACCGCAGTATCCCTGCTCAGAAGGTAATTGCTCCGAACATCCACGCCTCGTTTATGCAGAGCCTGCGGCTCTCGCTGTGGATTGCAGCGTTCTGCGCCCTGCTGCTGCCGACTTACCTCCACGGTGCACGGTGCCGTGGTTGATGATTGGTCTCTATGTCGCCCAGTACTTTAGGGCTGTTCATAGAGGTTTTCACAGTCGTTCGGGAGTTTCTTTGCGAACCTTGTAGCAACTAGAGTGCTGACGAGAACGGGCACAGCTTTACAGCTGGACGTGCAAGCCTCAACACGCAGCCTCAGGCGCTGGACAGCGCAAGTCCACTGATGCCCCAAACCTACCTAAGTCCGCATCCCCTGGCACGGACCTTGGGGTTTAGGGTTATCCCAGGTACTACGAGTGCGGTCAGCCGCTTGCGCGGAGCACGGCGGCCTACTTGGACGAGTCTCCTCTGGCGGAGATTTTCGTGATTTTGGTCTGGAGCCTTGCCACCCTCTTCGTCTCTGCAGCGATATCTGTTCTTCCCAAGCTAGGCTGCCGGTGCTGCAAAAAGCCTCGCTTAACGACGATGTTTATCCTCAGCAGCCTAGCTTTTCCTTTGACGTATTCCTTGCGTTTTGACCCTTCCATGCCAGCTAGGTGAAGGCGTAAGAGAGCCGCCAGAAGGGTCCTGGAAGCTGAAACACCGGCTTGCGTGGCTTCTCTGGATCCTGACCGTCACGATGATCTCGCTACCTTCGATCCTGTATTCTCTGGCACAGGCCGGTCCTGAGCTGGGCTCTCTAGAACATTCGCTAGCTGAGCTGGGCTCTCTTTCTTGGGGAAGTATTTCAGAAGCAGAGAAACAAAGGAAAAGGTTTGGGAAAAGGGCGGCGTTTCTGGGTTCATGTCAGGCTCAAGGTGAGACTGTCCGAGTGTCTGATGTCGGTGAGTCTTACGTGCTTTTTGGGCCGCCACCGTGGTCTGGGAGGCCCTTCCGAAGGACAACACCCTGGTGGCAGACTCGATCCTGAACATCGCACACCGCACGGCCCCCGCACTGATTGTTTTTGTCGACGAGGTCCTTGCAGCACGGCTCTCCATCAAGTATGCAGGTGCAGCCGGTTCTTGGAGCCAGCACGTCCTGCATCATAAATCCACACACAACTTCGATACCGTTTCTGCATATCTGGTTCAACCAAAAGGGGATTGCAAATACATGTTTTCCCCTGTCTCGTGGCAAAAGAGCGGACCGCATCTCGCCCGAAGTTCCAAGACACAGAAGAATCCAACAGCCCTTGACTAGGATAAAAAGAGATCAAGTCACACTAAGGTTCCTTCTGTAATTTAAGGTATGTATTTCCTTGAACAAGGGGCTGTTGAGTGTTTGGGAACCGTGCCAGACCCTGGCAGGTTTATCTGGGATCAAGGCGGACAGACTTCTGATGGCACTGAGGTTGTGTGCAGCGTGGCTCCTTCCGCTGCTCGCGGCAGTCGCTTTGCAGGAAAATTGCCTGGCAGGGTGGAAACTGTGGTGGAACACCTGCAATCCAAAATCTGAGATGCATGCAGCCTTCAATTGGCGGCTACCAGTAGCAACAACAGTGGCAACGATCCTGAATACCACGACAGACATGTGCAGCGCGGATTCTGAGAACTTTTGGGGGAAGGCCGTTGCAGCAGGTCTGTTATCGAAGGTCTATCGCCCTTGATCCTGAAGAAGCTGTTGATTCGGATTGCTGTGCAGCCCTTTGCGATGGTCTTGGCCTGGCGCGCATCCAAGCTGGAGGACGACCGGCCCCTGGAGGATCGTGGCCGACATCTTCGGCTGCTCGGCTGGGGCCCCAAGACCAGTCGATCCCTGGACTCGATGCAGCAGCATGCCTATTTCACCACCCTACTGGAAACTGCCATCGTTTGGGGCCCACTGGTTCCATTGGTCAGCTTTGCTGTGGTGGCTGCTTTCTTAAGCAACGCGATGCTGTTTGAGATAGGCCTCAGCTTTGGTGTCCGGCTGCCCACAGACGCAACCAACAGTTTCGCTGGACTGTCGCGTGCATACTTGCGATTTGCATTGGCCGCTAGCTGTGTTTTCCAGCTTTGGCACGCCTTCGGCACTGGCATGGCTGGGCGCACGATGCTGCTGCTTACTTCCACGTTGACTGCTGCTGTCAGCACTTTGGGTCTTCCGCGCGCATTGCGGCCGGCCAGTCGGCCGCCCAGGACGGGGCCAGAGGGGCTAGAGATGACCGAGATGGAAGAGGCCCAGGCTGAATTCCCGCCCCTGCGCATCTTTTTGCCGAGCTCTCGAGTTGCAGGATGGGGCTTGAATTGCACTGCCGAGACGCCTGCAAAAGGCTTCGCAGCAGGCAGCTGAACTCTGGGGTTCTGGCTTTAGGAGAGTTTAGGGATTTAGGGGTTTAGGCTTTTTTGGGGCTTTAGGAGTGGGAAAGACGACCTATGGCTGAGGGTAGATGGGGTTTTGGGATTTTTGGGCTAGAGGTTTGGGGGGTTGACTCGGTCGGGTCAGGGTTTCGGCCTGGGTTTTAGGTTTTGGGGAGAAGGGGCTTGGCGGCTTTAAGGCTCTAGGGCTGGGGCTAGTGGTGTTTGGGGATGTGATACCTCGAAGCCGACCTTCATCCACCCCCAGACCCTCTTCTCCCCTGTCAAAGGTAAGCAAGATGTGTGCCGTTCTCACATCTTCACCAACGAGGCCCCACCCTAAACCCTAAACCCTAAACCCTAAACCCTAAAAACCCTAAACCCAGTGCAGACCTTCCCAAAGGAACTTGAAACCGGCAACACCTGGCACTCTAGGCTAGGCCGGGCTGCAGACTTTTCTGGGGTTTAGAAGCTCTTCAGGTCTAAGGTTTAGGGTTTAGGGCCGTTTAGGGTTTTAGGGCTTTAGGGTTTTAGGGCTTTAGGGTTTTAGGGTTTAGGGCCGTTTAGGGTTTTAGGGCTTTAGGGTTTTAGGGCTTTAGGGTTTTAGGGCTTAGGGCTTAGGGTTCGGGCCTGGTGCGCGGAGTGTGTGGCTTCGTCGGGGTCGGAGATGATCATGAGTAGTACTGTGATTTTCCCTTAGAGTTCATACCTTTATACCAAAAAAACACCCTTAGGGTTCATATTGTTGCCGGAGTGTAATATGCAGATATATTGTTAAAGATCCCAAAACATCTGGTCGCAACTTCGCTGCCTTTGGCAGCTACCGTTTGTAAGCCGCAAACGACAGCTAAAGCACACGTGGGTCAAATAAAAACTTGTATCGGCTAGCCGGAATTGTGCTCAGAACCTGGTGCCACCCGACACCCTACACCATCAACCCCCAAACCCCTAAGCCAAAAATCCCCTAGACCCTAAACTCTAAACCCTAAGCCCTAAATCCCCTAAACCCTAAACCTAAACCCTAAGCCCTAAATCCCCTAAGCGATAAACCCTTAACCCGAAGCCCTAAATCCCCTAAGCCCAAAGCCCTAAGAGCCCTCGAACCCTAAAGCCACCCCCAACTTCTACGCCCCCTCGGTGCGGCCTTTCATCCGTTCCACGCTCGTCTTTAAGGGCTTTACGTAGGGGTTTAGGGTTTAGGGTGTTGGGGTTTAGTAGAGCTAAACCTTAAAGCCCGAAATCCGAAACCCTACTTGGATTATTTTGGCTTTTTTGCTCTGGAATCCCCCCCTTTTTTGGCCTTCGCGCTTTGATCGTTGTGGACCTACTTAAAGGAGCCGGGAACTTGGGAAGCAGGGTTTCTGGGTTATGGTATTTCTTTGAAGGTATTCGAGTTTCAAGAACTTTCGAACTCAAAGACAGGCAGTTATGACCAAATTGAGAACTACCTACGAACCCTGAAGTAGCTTTCAAACGGAAGTTCCGGCTGCAAGTGCCCTGTCTAATCCTCATATACATGTCGGTTACCAGGAACCTCATCCTTTCAAGGAGTGTGAAGTGGGGTTTAGGGTTTAGGGTTTAGGGTTTAGGGGTCTTGCCGATATTTCCGACGGGACATGTCAAACATGCCCTCACCCACTTTCGCGAAAAAAACAGCCCCCAAGCCCTAAACCCTTCCGGCCCTAAACCCTGAACCCCAAGCCCTAAACCCCTAAACCCAAAGGCCTAAACCCTTTAGACCCTAAGCCCTACACCCTAAACCCTCAACTCCTAAAACTCCTAACAACGCAGCCCTTGAAGCTTGTTGGGATGCTTAGTAATGTCATCCCCTTGCAATTTTCGGGTTTAGGGTTTAGTAGTCCCTTTTTTGTAAATCATACCGTCATGCACCCGGAAACCCTAAACCCCTAAACCCCTAGACCCGAAGCCCTAAACCCTAAACCCTAAACCCCTAAACCCGAAAACCCTCAACC